CAGTCGGAAGGAAGTAGTCTGACGGATTGTAACCATAAGGTAACAATCCCGAGAAGTGAACCAACCATTTTCCAATTTGGATTGATACTTTCTCATCCCGAACCGTGCCGTTACTGGATCAAGAAAAGGTTGGCATTTTGAAAGGTGGATGTTGTTTCCTCATATAGGACCGAACCCCGAAATAATCCTGGGGAACGTGCGCAGGTCCAAAATTGGCTGCAGTGAGGCTGCATGGAACGGCGATGGCTAGGATATGGAAATCCTGGAAAATCCTAGAAATGTCTCATGAACCTTGAAGAAGCTCCAAGCTCGAACCGATAGAAGAGGTCCCCGGCTCCCCGCCCAGCAGCTTGAGAGAGAGGAGAGAATACGAAAAGAGACAAATCTAGCCAGTGGCGACGGAATCCCCAACTTTTCGGATACGGCGAAGTTGCTTGAACGTTGGCACGTTGGCACGTTGGTTAGAAGTTTCTTTTGTTGATTGATTAACTCGTAAATTGAAGACGTCAGTAATTTCCTAGAAACGAATTTGACCGCGCTCTTTTATCATGAATGAATCTCCAAAGATAAAATCAAAGGAATAGGTGGTGGGGACGGAGATACAAAATCTCATAACATTAACACTCAAAGTCAAGGGAAAAAGCATGGCGGCAACCACACACACTATGACTGCACTGCATATAGATTGTATTCAATCGGATCGCAGTAAAAGAAGAGTTCTGATAGAAATATCCCACGTCGATCGATGTATTGAAACCTACTTGCTGCTGTGACCACACTTGTAACATGATTTGTTGGAACGATGGAAAAATGGTCTTTTGGGCAGATATACTTCCGACCTCTAGATTATCGTGAGGCTGTCAATGATACACAAAAAGCTGAGCCGTGAACAACTCCAGCCAAGGATATTATTTGATTCATCTGCTACGACGTCAATGTATATACATGCCAGGTATGCTTATGTAGTATACATCATGTAGAGTCTGTGTGAGGTCTAATCCATGGTTGAGTACCTGTTGTAGCTGAGCATGAGAGCTTGAAAGAAGAAGGTAGAAAGGTGTTTTTCTGGTGCCTTATACTACACAACACGAGAAGCTGTACAACTTCATTCTCTCTCGTTTCCAGGAATCAGGAAATATCGTCCCCATTTCTCAGAAGTTGTCTCAGTCTAGACGAACAGCCGTAACCATTTTCACACATTCGGTAATTGTGACGGACAGATACTGCGCTGCGCCTTATGGACTTCAAGGGCATGACAGATGTCCAAAAGACGCGCAGGTTCTAAGACTCGATTGAGTACAGTACGCCGGTACCCCGGAGGGTTCTTTCAAGGGCAGCTGTTAGACCCCCGAGTATTACCCCAAATAGGACAGAGATGGGGGGGGAATTTAAATTATCACTACCAATCAAGAGCCCCTGTGAATGAAATTCCTTCGATTATCCCTTCAGCATTGGCCTGGAAAGGAAGAATGGATTGTGAAGCACATTTTGATTTCAATATCACACGATTCGACCTATAAAATACCTTGCCTTGTGTTTACTCCTTGACCGTTCCTTGAACAAGCATGAAATGCAGCACAGAGCTGAAGAAGAATCAACGTCTTTCTTCGCATCACATGGAGGGGAACAGACATCAATATCAAGCCTTGAAGAAAAGTTCGAATCTGAGAAGTGGTTGATCAGGGCCAGATGCTTTTGTTCCGTCAACCCATCGCAATGCCTGGCCTCTTGGATAGTCTCAACAATGCCAAAACGGGACTGATGGACCCCTCCCTCTTGCGTGACTTTCTCCAATTCCATTCGGGTTTTCCCTGTCACATCTTTCACGAAACAGTAGAACTCGGACTAGAATCGAATGCCATTGATATTGAATTTATCTGAATCTTCCCAGTATCAATTCGATTCGTGGGACTGCTTTTCAATTCCCTCTCTTACCTTGATTCATAACATTCTCACACTCTCTAGTGCAGTAATTCGTAACCCCTTCACTGCCTCCTTGCCATTTTCACTCCCATCAATTGGTTCTTTGCAAACCCGAGAATCCTACACCATCAATCAAGCAAAGCGCAGCCCAGGCACAGTTCTTTAATTGGTATGTGCGGCCGTTTCGTCACTCCCTCTTTCGGTGTTCTCTTACTCCACTAAATCTCACGAGTAGCCCTTGCATATCATATCGAATTGAATTAACGTGCCGAGCGTGCATCTCATGAGAGGGAAAAGAAGCAAAGAGCAGCGACAGGGTTTGAACAAGTGAAGCTAGGGAAAATGGTAAAAATTGTCGAACCGTCAGTCGGTCGTCAAAGTAACAGAAAAGAAAGCTAGAATCCTTGTTAATATGGCATGGCTGCTGTGTCCTCCGCTCCGTCGAGCTAATTGATTGATCATTAAACCTTACTTTTCGTATCCTTACTGTTTACTCGGTGGATTGAGAAGTTCATATTATTGGAGCAGGAAGAGAGAGGTAGTATGGTACTTTACTTTGGATCTGATCTGATAGGGAATGGCCATTTTATGAACAGCATTGCGTCCCTACTGGAAAGCCACCGAAAAATAAGAACTCACATACGGATGGTATTGCAACCGTCTCCTTGGATCGCTACCAGAGAATCATGGGAAAATCAATTACAAATCCTTGTTAAAGTTTTTTCGGTATTTTCATAATAATGATTATTAGAGTAAAAGATGTGTGCCGGTAGCAGCGAAGAGGGAAAAGAGAGTAAAGTCTATCTAAAGAGTTGAAGAGAATGGAAAGTCCTACAGTCCCATTATTATATTACATCAATCATTGTCAGGGCCGAGAGTACTTTTTCCCCTTCACTCTCTGTCAACACCAAACATCAAAAGAAATCATTGAATTAAAATCTAAGCTCTGAAATCCACAACGACATCCACCCGAATTCCACATTTACAACTACCTAGGTAGATTTCTTGTTTGCACGGTGCACAATTTCCCAAATCTGGGGGACCCATTTCATTACAAGGTAAGAGAAGAAGTACAAACCTGGGAACTCCGCCAAAAGGAAGATAGTGGTCCTTGAGTAATAGAAAACGAGAGCGAGAGAGTGTGTGATAGATAGCGAGAGTGAGGGTGAGCGATAGAGAGGAAGTGGGAGGAAAGGAAAGGAAAGGGAAGGGAAGGGAAGAGGGCAAAATCCTTCCACCGATTCTCTTGAATCCGACATTCACTTCGACTACAACCACAACCTCAACCTCCACTACATTGACATTGGCATTGACATTGACACTGACATTGAGATCAACATCGACACATCGACATCTCCAACTACAACCAAGCACGACTGCCAAAAATACCACACAGCGACAGGCGATCAACGGCCGATAACATCTTCATGTAAAAGAGTCTACGAATTGAAACTCGATAGGATCTCTTCCCATCAATTGACAAGATTCAAAGCAAGCAATCTCTCTCCACAAACTTCAACTCAATTCACTTCACCTCGTTCAGTCGTTCATTCATTACGTCGTTTATTTATCAATAATTATCACCTACTTGTTACCATTTGAATCCTCTCTCTGAGAGCCTTCAACAGAAAAGAGAAGAAGGAAGGGTTGCATATGCGAAGAAAAATCGATCGACCGAGTCAATTCCTTGAACCCTTGCATTATATCTGTGCATCATCCATACCGGCCCATACATAGGGTACTATACCACACTATACCATACCACACCATACCATACCATATTCCTCGTACACCCAAGGGCATTACACCCAATACCCAACACCTCACACCACCAAAATACACCATCCACTCACCCACCTTGACAACCTTGAAAGTACCTTGTTTTAAGTACAAGTACCTTAACAAGTACCTTACCTGGACTTCTTATTACTTGCACCTCTCAAATCAATCAATTTGGATTTCCTGCATGTTCTGCACATACATACACATACTGCATACTACAAACTACATACTACATACTACATACATACATACACACACATACTTATCTATATTCTTCCTTCCTTCTCTCCTTCCTCTACTTTTGTACTCTTGCTGTGCCAGAGTTACAATCTAAACTTACTTACAACGGAGCAAAGAGAGTGGGGTTTATTGTATTGCCTTTCCCGGTCTCGATCCAATTCCTCGATTTTCCTTTTTTTGACAATTCAAGTTTCAACGCATTGATTTCTCGCGTTTGGAGCATCACAAAAATCATAGCCACATAAGTGCATCCGAGACCCCCCCAGTGTGATTGACAAATCGACGGCCGCACATCAAGGGTTCTGAAATCTCTTGACTTGATACACTAACTGCTTTGCTGTCAACTGGTGTCAAAGTACAATACATCCCGACTTTAATAAACTTTTTCCGCGTGGCATAAAGTTTATTGCGATTCAGGGTCCTCCGGTCTTGTCAACTAAGCTTTCCTAGTCGACAACACTCACCACAACGACGACTTAATTATTTAAGCTAGAGATCAAAGACACGACTCTTCTTCCTTAAATACGAAACATCACAAGGAAAAACGATCGCTTTTTCCTTTTTTCGAGTATTGGTAGTCACTTACGAGAATCGTCTTTTCGACTAGTTCATTGGTAAGTCTCTCCCGAGACCAAGGTTCAGCCAATTTTGGTATGCACCTCTCCATCCCAGTCAAGCTTCTCAGAATGACATGACATTCCACACATCCCCCACTCCTCATTCCTCTCCATAACCAAAACAACACTTGATTCTTATCCAAAGGGTTCTTGCTAATCTCCACTATCACTATCAGATTGTGTTTACCGTTCGACGAATATAGAGGTCGATTCTACAAAGGAAGCACTGGGGAAAATAACATCAAAACAAAAGCATTACAATCGCATCGCAAAACTTCCGGATTATTATCTCGTTGGGTCATATCGAATCCTAAGACTAAAAGTGTGGACGACGTCTTGAGACATTCAATATAACTGCAATTTGCAAATCTACCCCAAGCCATTCAACTAGGATATTGATAGGAAAACACCCATGATATCTTTGAAAGGCGGACCATCATGGTGAACTCGCAGGAGTCTGAGCATTCCAAGCGAACGAGTGCACAGGTAGCACCTCTTACAATACATAAGGGTCGACCGCGCGGAAACAGCAACGCATCATCCTCAAAACACAAAAGAAACACTTCATCCAGAAGTAGTAACCAAACAACGTCAACAGGAAGTCAATCACAAATCACGCCCCCCGCCACTCCCAATGGTTCTCGAGAAAATCTAAATCAAATGGAGCCTCCTCCGGTATTTCACAGCTTCTTGAGGGCATTTTACCCTTTTCATCCTGAATATGCTATTTCGGATTCTTCGGTCACGCTTCCACTAAACGAAGGGGATGTGGTTTTAGTGCATTCAATACACACCAATGGTTGGGCAGATGGGACACTACTCGTTTCTGGCGCGCGTGGTTGGTTGCCCACCAACTATTGTGAAGCCTACGATCCAGATTCCATGAGGAACTTATTAAAGGCATTGCTAAACTTTTGGGATCTCCTACGGAGTGGTTTAACTAGTGATAGTGAGATATTTGGCAACCAACAATTCATGCGAGGTATTATCGCAGGAGTCAGATATTTACTAGTAAGGATCTTCTAGCTTTTTTGAATCATGTTTGCTAATACGGAAAAAGGAAAAATCGAACTGCCTTACTCGTGAATCACCGATTGTACAGAGCAACGATAACCTCCGAAAGAATAGAAAGGCTCTTTTGTCCGATCTATCGGCCCTGGTCAAAACCGCCAAACAATTGCAGGATTTTGCTACCTGTTCCTCAGTGGGAGCAGACACGGAAACTGTGAACGATATTATCGATGAGATGATTTTGAAAGCTTTCAAAATTGTTGTGAGAGGTATAAAATTCTTGGACAATTTGGAGGAGGATGCGAAATTACGACAGGCCGTCCATAAAGTCATGACAACCGTTACTGAGGAATCATATGTTCCACCCACTCCACCAGCGGACTCGACGTCATTTAGCGGGACACCGCATACAGACCCTGCATACGACACGGCATCTCACAGAAGCTCGATCCGAAGTTCGACGAGCGCCGCTTCCAGTTCCCTGCAATCGGAAGAGCAGAACAAACGACAGTCACACAAACGGATATCGACTGCGTACCCAGCGGTAACATCGCGTCCATTATCCATTTCTTCGATTCAGGCTAAAAGGGCTTCCGTATCTCACCGTGTTTCACTTATCGCCTCTGTACCCGCTGAACAACGTCAAAATCTTGTTTCTGAGAGATTGAACTCTAGTCACGATACATTTCTCTCATATTTGGGATCATTCATCGGAAGGCTTCATCTACAAAGCCAGTCTTCTCAAGGGTTGCTGTCGTCAGTTAGGCAGTCAGTAACTGCTGGCCAAGGTTTATTGATTGTAGTCGAAGCAGTATGTGCTCACGACAGCCAGAGCGCCGACTCGTTGAACAATGCTCGGAACGCAATGTATGATAGAATCAGTAAATTGGCGTTGGCAGCTCGGGATATAATTAGCTCATCAGGTGTTGAAGAAGACGACGTTGTAATGGCTCAACAAAATGGGGGGCTACTAATGGCGGCCACAGGATGTGTTAAAGCTGCTGGAGAAGTAGTAGCAAAGACCAAATTCGTGATTGAGCGAATTGGCGACTTCGAATTCGAACCAGTCGAAGGTCTTGGAATTAACGTTGCCTCGATAGGCGGCACAATCGAACAAGCGGCACGAAGCCCCGAAGTTAGTGCTGCCGTACCGGAACAGCCTTCATCGCGTCCTCCTCCACCACCTCTAGTCATTCCAGATGTTTACGAGAAACCATTACCAGAGATACCCCTTAGCTCTCCGCCAGCGGCAGAAACCAAGCGAATGTCGAATCGACTTTCGAACACCTCCATTCTACCCCCACTGCCAAAAATGGGCGCTCCTCTGATGAGCCAAGAAGATTACAGTCCTTCCGATCGTAACTCAACAAGCGATGGAGAATTTCAATCATACAGATCTGGCAGTATCGCAGTGTCTAGCACTGGAGCTAGTAGTAGTTACACACGCGATTCGGAGATGAGCATGGTTTCGCAAACTTCTACTAGGGCGACTACTCCAGATCTAACAGCTTACGAACCAAGAAGCAAGCCATCTTTGTCAAGTATCAGCATAGCTGAAAGCCAATCAACATTCGCCGATGATCCATATGATCTCGAATCGAGGATGCTTGAGAAGACGTTCGCACACGAGTTACTACACAATAAGGAGGGTCAAATTACCGGCGGTTCACTGGCGGCATTGGTAGAACGACTTACTACACACGATTCAACACCCGACTCCATGTTTGTTTCAACCTTTTATCTTACTTTCAGATTGTTCGCGTCTCCCGTTGAGCTTGCCACAGCTCTGGTTGATCGCTTTGAATATGTTGTCGAGAGTCCTCATATCGCAGGACCGGTAAGATTAAGAGTTTACAATGTATTCAAGGGCTGGCTGGAATCTCATTGGAGAAAGGTCTCTGATTACGCTGCGCTCTCAATTATCGAAACCTTCGCGAATGATAAGCTTAAGGCTGCTCTCCCCGCAGCTGGCAAACGACTTTCGGAGTTGGCTCAAAAGGTGTCTTCTATGGATGGACCTCTGGTGCCAAGGCTCGTTTCCTCAATCGGAAAGATTAGCACATCTCTCGGTCAATATGTACCAGCCGATGTACCAGTCCCTCCTGTCGTTGTAACAAGAAGCCAAGCCGCAGTTTTGAAGAATTGGAAAATGGGTGGTAGCAATCCATCCATTCTCGAGTTTGATCCACTTGAATTGGCCCGTCAATTGACCATCAAGGAGATGAATATATTTTGCTCCATTATGCCAGAGGAACTTCTCGGGGCCGCATGGACTAAGGCCAGAAAGGGTGGTTCATGTGCGGTAAATGTTAGAGCTATGGCGACATTGTCAACAGATCTTTCTAACCTTGTCGCCGACACAATCTTGCAACACGACGACGTTAAGAAGAGAGCCATTATCATCAAGCATTGGATCAAAATTGCGCATGAATGCCTCAAGCTCAACAATTATGATTCGTTGATGGCGATCATTTGCTCGCTTAATTCATCTACTATTGTTAGATTGAAGAAAACCTGGGACTTGGTATCTCAAAAGCGAAAGGAAATGCTCAAGGCGCTACAAGCAATTGTGGAGCCAGAGAAGAATTACGCCTGCCTTCGACGTAGACTCCATGACCATGTCCCTCCATGCCTTCCATTTGTTGGTACCTACCTCACAGATTTGACATTTGTCGATGCTGGTAACCCATCTGCAAAGCAATTGGCTGACGGCACATCTGTCATTAACTTTGACAAACACACTCGCACGGCTAAAATCATCGGCGAACTACAACGCTTTCAGATCCCTTATCGCCTGGCAGAAGTTCCGGAACTTCAAGAGTGGCTTCAAGCTCAAATTGTTCACGTCAAATCCGCCTCGGATAATGAGAACGTTCAGCAATATTACCGAAAGTCTTTACTCCTGGAGCCACGCGATATCTTAGTTACGAGGCCTAGTCCTGTGGACTCGGCAGTTTCTTTCGGCTCTCTGCATGGAAAGGATAAATTTGATCTTTTTGGATGGACTCATTCAAAGGATAAATCACAAACACCTATTTAAACATTCTTTGATATCATTCTCGACCTTCATCATTCGCACTTACTCCGGATTCGGAACACATTATACACACATCATCATGATATCCAGCTGATTTGATACCCCCGCACTTTGAATAGCGTTTTAGCGAATGATCTTTTTACCCTTAGGAGTTATACACGGCGTTCTCGACAGGTGGCTCATGGAAGCTATGGCTGTTACTTTCGAATTGTTTCACATTACACTTTTACATACTTGAATACCATCACATTTGGGTATCAAGATTCGGCCCAGGGAAGGATAAAAAAAGCTCTTCTTATACTTATAATTGTATACTGGTCGAATGGGAATTGTACATCATATCTTTTTCTAGCTCTTTTTCTTTTCTTTTTGATTCTATCTTGTATTGTTTTTAAACAGCAAGCTCAACGGAATGAGTGAGCAGTGAGGGTCATTAGGGTATGCCTGGTCTGGTATGGTTGGAAAAGATGGGGTGGATGGAGTTGTGGAATATGAAAAGGCAATCATGCATTTTGGTGTGGGAACTCTCGGTGGTGCATTCAGATTATTGACAGGGGTTGTTTGTATGACACCTAAAAGCAATTGGTATAGGGATGAGCTCGCGCTCGACTTGTGGTTCTGATTCAGTCATACGTTGGAATTGGTATTTTGACCGGTGGGATGAGTGGAGAGGATTTTTTCGATGAGGATTCATGGATATGATTAGATGAGGATGGCGGGAATGGGTTGGGGAGGAATGGATGGATGGATGGACGGACAATAGTTAGATACCAATACCAGGCGGCAAAATCCAAGGCAAGATAAGATATGGCCGGGAAAGAGAAATGTTAATGAAGATTATGACCAACACATCGTGTTATGTATGCTTTTTGGTGATGAATTTCTGTGATGGTGACAAGCAATCAATCGATCAATCAATCAATTCATGTTCGTGTTCGTGTTTTCAGAAGAAAATTAATGTAGCGTAACGAATGGGATGAACCTTGAATGAAGGATGGGAAACAGTCGTAGCAGAGGAAATCGAGGGAAGAAAAGAAAGCAAAAGGATAGATGAGTCCGGAGGATTGATGTTCCTGGTGTGCATTAGGGTGCGGTGCGTGTTCGGAGGCCGATTTCCAGGGACCGACGGGGCTAGGGGGCCGAAGCGTTTTGAATTGTTTATTATGATTTTGGAGAGTGGGGTTTGAGTTTTTGAGTTTGGTGGGTGGTTTCTGAGTGGGTGGTGGGTTTTGAGTGGGGAGGGGAAGGGAAGGGAAGGGAAGGTTGGGGGCGAATTGGAGGGAGGGAGGAAGGAAGGGAGGGATGGAGGGATGGATAGATGGGAAGATGGGAGGATGGGAGGATGGAATTGAAGAGAGAGGGGTGGTTGGTGGTTGGTGGTTGGTGTGTAGTGTGTGTGTACAGTGATTGGTATGGAACATGCATACATGAGGAAGCATTTGGAGGGGTGGTGCTGGGTAAGATGGGTTTGTAGATTGTCTAGAGTTTGTGTATCGTCTAGAGTTTGAGGAGTTGAAAGAGTTTACACGTTTACACTGGGCGAGTCTGTACTCCTCCTACTGATCGATAAAAGGTTCATGAATCAGAAACATCGAGGACCGAGTGTTGCTGTTGTACATACACATCACTTGTATCCCGAGGTGATAGGTAGTGTCTACGTGTCTTTGCAGTTTTGGGTGCCAGCCATGGTGAATGAAGGATTGACATTCAAGAACAATGCAGCTGGATGGCATTGTTCTTTTTGCTTTGTAGATGAACGTGAGCAAGTGAGTTGTTGGATTGAATGAAAGCAGAACCCACACCATTTGACAAATGAGAATTGATCATCCATACATCCAGTGATCTTCGGTGGCAATGGAGAAAAGCATTGTCATTGCCAATAACGTCTTCAAATATCTCCTCCTCATTAGTATCCTATATCCTAATTCACCTGGCAATTGATGATTGCACCATCTCAGCTAGCAACATTGATAACTCATTGACCCCACCAACCCACCAACACAGGTCACAGAAAGATCCCAGTGTCCGAAATCTCTGCAAATCACGTGCTAGTATTCTTATCTCGTACCTCAAATGTGACTCCACTCTCCACGCTAGTCCTAGGCGGGGTTCCTCAAAGACAAGGGTAGGTGGAAAAAGTAAAGAGAGGGGTGGGTGATGGGTGATGAGTGATGGGTGTTGCCTTTCAAGGGCCGGCCAATCTTCTTTCCTCACTTATTAAAGACAAGAAGAAAAGCTTCTCTCCTCTTCTTCCCTTCCATCTATCTTACTCTCACACACACACACACACACACCGCTTCACATCTTCTCTTCCTCTTTTTGACTACAAATACAACCAAGAGTGCACTCGGAATTTCCATTCAGAGTGTTCATTTCAATTTACTTTCTTCTCTTCTGTTCTCTCCATAGAATCGAATAGAAAAAGTGTTCGACCAATCAATCCATCAATCTCCGACTTCGCTGTCTAGTTTCACCTGCTAGCACGCAATCCGTGGTCGGTTTAAATACTTCGACTTCACCCATCTTTTACCTTTGAACTTCATCATCACATTTCAATACCGCAAATATGGTTCAATCGTAAGTTGCATCCATCTGCCATGTACTCCTACAGCTATTAACCATATCAACGACAGATCCGTTCTTGGTTTCCCTCGCATGGGAGCTCTCAGAGATCTCAAGAAAGCTACTGGTAAGATTTGTTACCTCACAATGCTACCCCACATTGGATACTAACAAATACCAACAGAGGCATACTGGAGTCAAAAGATCTCTCAAGATGATCTCCTTGCTGAGGCAAAGAGACTTCGTCTTGCTCACTGGAAGATCCAAAAGGATGCCGGTGTCGATATCATCCCATCCAACGACTTCGCTCTCTACGATCAAGTTCTTACTCACATCCAAGACTTTGGTGTAAGCATTCCAATCTCATCTGCAGATCCAAATGTAACATGTCACTAACTCTTCTCTCTACAGGCTACCCCAGAAAGATACACCAAGCATGGTCTCGACCCAATCGATCAATACTTTGCTATGGGACGTGGTCACCAACGTGATGGTGTTGATGTTTCATCCTTGGAGATGGTAAAGTGGTTCGACTCTAACTACCATTACGTCAAGCCAACTCTCCAAGACAACCAAGCTTTCAAGCTCACCTCCGACCCAAAGGCTGTTCGTGAGTTCAAGGAAGCCAAGGATGCTGGTATCACCACCCGACCCGTCTTGGTTGGTCCAGTTTCTTTCCTCCACCTCGGAAAGCCAGACCGTGGACAATCCGTTGACCCAATTGATCTTTTGGACAACCTCCTCCCAGTTTACATTGAGCTCCTTAAGCAACTTAAGGCTGCTGGTGCCGAGACTGTTCAAATTGATGAGCCAACTCTTGTCTTCGATCTTCCATCCAAGACCAAGGCTGCTTTCAAGCCAACTTACGAGAAGCTCGCCAGCTTAGGTGATGAGATCCCAAAGATTGTCTTCGCCACATACTTTGGTGACATCGTCCACAACATTGATGCTCTCCCAACTGACATCTATGCTGTCCACGTTGATTTGGTCCGTAACCCAGAGCAATTGGAGACTGTCATCTCCGCTTTGGGATCCAAGACCATCTTGTCCGCTGGTGTTGTTGATGGACGTAACATCTGGAAGACCAACCTCAAGCGTGCTATTGAGACTGTTGAGTCTGCTGTCCAAAAGCTCGGAAAGGACCGTGTCATTGTTGCCACTTCCTCTTCCCTTCTCCACACCCCACACACCCTCGCAAGCGAGAAGAAGCTTGACCCAGAAATTGCTGATTGGTTCTCTTTCGCTTCCGAGAAGGTTGTTGAAGTTGCCATCATCGCTAAGGCTGTTACTGAGGGACCAGCTTCCGTCCGCGCTGAGCTCGAGGCTAACGCCAAGTCCATTCAAGCTCGTGCTTCTTCCAAGAGAACCAACGACCCCAAGGTCAAGGAACGTCAATCCAAGATTGTCGAGAAGGATTACAACAGAATCTCCGAGTTCCCAGAACGTATTGCTCAACAACAAAAGGCTTTGGGTCTTCCTCTTTTCCCAACCACCACCATCGGTTCTTTCCCACAAACCAAGGAGATCCGTATTCAACGTAACAAGTTCACTAAGGGTGAAATCACTGCGGAGGAGTACGAGAAGTTCATTGAGAAGGAGATTCAAGATGTTGTCAAGGTTCAAGAAGAACTTGACCTTGACGTCTACGTTCACGGTGAGCCAGAACGTAACGACATGGTTCAATACTTCGGTGAACGTCTCGATGGTTATGCCTTCACCACCCACGCATGGGTTCAATCATATGGTTCCCGTTGTGTTCGTCCTCCTATCATCGTTGGTGATATCTCTCGCCCAGCACCAATGACTGTTAAGGAGTCCAAATACGCTGTCTCCATCTCCAAGAAGCCAATGAAGGGTATGTTGACTGGTCCAATCACTTGTTTGAGATGGTCCTTCCCTCGTGATGATGTTCATCAATCCGTCCAAGCTGAGCAACTTGCTTTGGCTCTCCGTGATGAGGTTGTTGATCTCGAGGCTGCTGGTGTTTACGTCATTCAAGTCGATGAGCCAGCTCTTCGTGAGGGTCTTCCTCTTCGTCGTGGAAAGGAGCGTGAGGCTTACCTTGACTGGGCCGTTAAGTCTTTCAGACTTTCCGTCTCTGGTGTCCAAGATTCCACTCAAATCCACTCTCACTTCTGTTACTCTGAGTTCCAGGATTTCTTCCACGCCATTGCCGCTCTTGACGCTGATGTTCTCTCCATTGAGAACTCCAAGTCTGATGCTAAGCTCCTCAAGGTCTTTGTTGATGAGGCTTACCCACGTCACATTGGTCCAGGTGTTTATGACATTCACTCTCCTCGTGTTCCATCCGAGCAAGAGATCAAGGACCGAATTGAGGAGATGTTGCAATTCCTCAAGCCAGAGCAACTTTGGATTGATCCTGATTGTGGTCTTAAGACTCGTCAATGGGCTGAGACTAAGGCTGCTTTGACCAACATGGT